TATTTATTCATTTGACAGAGACACAGCGGGAGAGGGAACACAAGCAGGGGGAGTGGGAGAGGGAGAAGCAGACTCCCCACTGAGCAGGGAGCCTGATGCGGGATTGATCCCAGGACCCTGGGATCGTGACCTGAGCCGAAGGCAGACGCTTAACGACTGAGCCACCCAGGCGCCCCTGGGAGCAACATTTCTAATTACTCCGCTACTCGCTACTCGAATGGGCTGGTTTTAGAGTCCCCGTTCCTTCCGGGCCCACCCCCCAACCCAGTTCCCTTGAGAGCAGAAGCACTCACAGCCTCGATCTCCTCTTCCTCCTCATCAATGGTCGACACCGTGACGGAGCTGAACTTGCCCATGTCTTTCGTCCGTTTGGTCATCATGACCTGGAGTCACAGGAGGAGGAATCAGTCTCGTTCACCGCAAGAGGCTCTGTGAGCTGCGCGCGCGCTCCTGCGTGTGTCCACCCGCGGGCGCGCACACATGACTGGTTGCAGGGGGAGGCGGTTGGGGGGGAGGACACACCTCTTTGGGACAGGCTGACCTATCTAAAAGTGCCAATGGGGTGGGGTTTTTTTTTTTTCTTTCTATTTGGATTCTGTTTTTCTAACATTTGCCGTCAAGGCTTTTAAAAGTATATTCAAAAATGAGCCTCCTTCCTTTCGTTTTAACTGTCCACACTGAAAAAAGAAGACATTTCAAAGGAAATCAATGTGAATCAAAACCATACAATTTCTAGCTTTACTCTTGGGACAGCCGTAGGAAAGAAAAAAGAACGCATACTGGATGTTACATGCAACATCGGCTTACCCATAAAGACGGCGTCCTCTTAATAAAGAATGCATCCATAAAGGGCACTTTCCCATTATAATCTTATTTAAAGATGGAGGGTGATCCGTAGATTCGTAGCTATATAAACCAGTCAGTCTCCTTCAATAATTACCTTCTTAGGAGGCTCTTGTTTCTGAGTATAGATGTTCGTTTTGCCAAAGCCCTGGCCGAACTTGACCACTGCTCCGTCCACAATGAAGGTCACGGGGGCATTCTTAGGCTGGGACTGATAGAAGAGTGGCAGGCCACACCTGCAAAGAGCAGAGCCAATCTCTGGGAAGCTCACAAGCCAAATCCCCGAAACACGGACTCCCAAAGTGCGCTCAGACGCTGGGGAACAGTTTTGTTTGTGGCGTAAACTAAGGATTCACTCCTTCCAGTGTTTCCCAAAACAACTTCGTAAGAATCACTGAGGAATCACTTTAAACAAGTAAGAATTTGTTACAACTGCTGCTTGGATTCCCAGGTCCCTCCTTCCGAAGATCGAAGATCGTGATTCAGCAAATTGGGGAGCTGAGGCCTGGGAACCTGTCACTTTCCTCAGCATCCCAAGTGATTCTTATCATTGGAGAAGTTTGGGAAAGGCTGGCCCCTGCCGCTGTTTGCTTTCCAGTTAAAGCTGCCGCCATTCTGGGGCACCTGGCTGGCTCGGTTGGGAGAGCATGCGACTCCGGGTCACGGGGTTGTGAGTTCAAGCCCCATGTTGGGTGGAAAGCTTACTTAATAAATAAAAATTTAAAAATAATAAAAGTTTCCTAAAAATACGTATTTTTAAAAAAACTGCTGGGGTGCCTGGGTGGTGCATCCAATTCTTGGTTTCAGCTCAGGTCAGGATCTCAGGGTCGTGGGACTGGGCCCCGCGTCAGGCTCTGCACTCAGCATGGAGTCTGCTGGGGTTCCCCTCTCCTTCTCACATAAATAGATATATCTTTAGGGGGGGGAAAAACTGCTGCCATTCTTCCAAGAAGTCTGGGTACCTAGCGTGGGGTTTTGTCCGGTTTTGTTTGGGTTTTTGCGGTGTCGAGAGGGAGTATGAAGGCTCCACTGCAGTGGTTAGCAAACTACTCTGTGGAGTAATCGTCGTACTTTCTTTGGTCGGGCAGTTTTACTGTACTTTTTCAGCTACATGAAGTAGACTCATAAGACATGATAAAATGGGGGGCACCTGGCTGGCTCAGTCGGTGGAGTGTGTGACTCTTGATCCTGGGGTTGTGACTCTGAGCCCCACGCTGGGTGCAGACATCACTTAAAAACCAAATCTTAAAAAAAAAAAAAAAAAAAAAAGACATGAAACGAAGTTAACAACTCTAATGTGGCTGGGAACTAAAATGTCTTCTCAGGCATTTCCGTGCCTTGATTCTTCCGTCATGAGTCTTCTGAGAGCCGAGATGTAACTGTCGTGCCATCAACAAGATGAACCTTACTGTAGTTTAGTATTCTCACTATTAACGGCCTAAAGCTGGACATGTATACATAGCTTTAAAGAACAGTTTCTAAAGTTCTTGGGTCTGTGGGCCTACAATAGGCTTTATAAATAAGTCTGGATTACATTATGCTATGTTCCATTTACCATATGACCCAGCAATTCCACTCCAAGAGAAAACGCATGTCCCCACCAAGATTTATACTAGAATGTTCATAAGAGCTTTATTCAGAATAGTCAAAACCCTTAGCAACTCAAATGCCCTTCTGCAGGTGAAGAGCAAAACTGGTGCTATGGATACTACTCAGCCACAAAGAGGATCAAACTAGTGATAAATGTGACACCTTGGCTGAAACCCAGAAGCACTGTGCTGAGTGAAAGAAAGCAAACGTAAAAGATACATACTGTATGTAGCAGAACACATGTTGTAGAATTTAGATAACACTTTTAGGAAAGGCAATAACATTTTTAGAAAAGACAAAACCGTAGCTACAGAAGGCAGATCAGTGGCTGCGGTGGGCGGAGGGGGGGGGGCAGTGTAGGGTGAAGAAGGGGACTGACAGCAAAGGGCACACGGGGAGCCGGGGAATGGCCTGCATCGTGGCAGGGGTGGTGTTAGAGGACTGCATGCTTCTGTCGGGACTTCTCAAATTGTATGCTTAACACAGGCAAATATGGGGGGCGCCTGGCTGGCTCCGTCAGTAGAGCGTGTGACAGTCTTGGGGTTGCGAGTTCAAGCCCGACAGTGGGCGCAGGGATTACTTAAGGAAAAAAAGGGCAAATTTTGTCATACATAAATCACATGTCTATTGAAAAAATGATACGATGTTAAAAAAAAAAAAAGAACATTTCTGTGACCAGCTGGTCAGAGATGTGACTTTGACTAGTCTATCCGAGGAGCATATTGGTATTTGTGTAGCTGAAGTTCGAAGGCAGCTGGGATCGTAAGGATAAAGATACAACAGAGAATTGTACCCGCCTAATTCTTTTCCAAACACGTTATTGCCTCTCCTTTCTTCTGCTTGGAGAAAGCCGCGCTGTTAGATACCTACTTGGCACACTTCTTCCTGTACTGCCGTTCAATGCCTTCAGGCCTGTGCAGAAAACGGAATTAGAAAAAAAAAGAGATGAACAAATCTCATAACCTACCCGCCTCACTACCTCATTTCTTCAAATGCTAAAAAAGGGCCTTTCGAAAGTTTTCATTTCCTAGATGAACCGGCTAGTTGAACGTGTATTAATCTTAAGACATCCCCGCCTCCCACACACGTTTCCTGAGCCCCGAGGACGGGTCAGGCGTCCCCCTGACCCGGGGGGGGGAGGGGTAGAAGCTATAGTCATAGCAACGGCCAGGGTCACGGGTAACAACAACAACAGCAGCGCTAATACTAGCAACCACGTGTACACCGTGCTCAAGATCACCCGGAGTAAGTCACTTGCGCCTTGGAGCGACGCTGTGAGGTCGTTCCTATTACCATTCCCATTTGACGGATGAAGGCCCCCAAGCACAAACCAAGCACGTGATTTGCCCCAGGTCGGAGTCCGGAAGCAGAATAGGCTGAATTCAAGCCGAGGCCGCCACGCTCAAGAGCCCACAAGACTGCCTTAGGTAAGCAACTCTGCCACCCACCCAGATGCTTAACGGAAACCCGGGGACTCATCCTTGATTCTTCTCTTTCCCTTATTTCCCACACCTAGTCCATCAGCAAATCCTACGGATTTATCATCTCCAAAAAAAGATCCTGAACCTGTCTGCTCTGCTCTACCTTCCGGCCACCATCTTAGCCCAGGCCACCAGTATCTCTTCCTTGGCCGACTGTCATAGCTTCTGGACTGGTCTCCTCACTTCCCCTCCCCTTGTTTGTTTCCATTTTTAATAAGCAATATGCATACATGGTACACATATGAGTACAAAGAAAAGCAAATATCCTCCCCACCCACCCTTCACCCACCCAGTTCTCTTCCCTGGGGGGCAAATATTGTTTCTGGTTTCTTCTGTTCCTCCCAGAGATAACTGATGATATAAGCAAAGAATCCTTATTGATATATAAATAAAATATATTTTATTTCTTTTCCTTTTTAGACAAATGCAGCATACCTTACACTGTTCTCTACTTCTTTGTTGTTGTTGGTTTTTTTTTAAAGATCTTATTTATTTGACAGAGAGAGACACAGTGAGAGAGGGAACACAAGCGGGGGGAGCACGAGAGGGAGAAACAGGCTTCCTGCGGAGCAGGGAGCCCGATGCGGGGCTCGACCCCAGGACCCCGGGATCATGACCTGAGCTGAAGGCAGACGCTTAACGACTGAGCCAGCCAGGCGCCCCTCTTTGTTTGCTTAAAAATGTGTCCTGGTTAGAAAATATATATGTGACCCTTCCTTACCAATTGACAAAGAGGTGTCCCATGCTTCATAAGGGCTGCATTGTATTCCTTTGTGTGGATGAACCGAAATGTCTTTTACCTGTTGGATAAATTCCTAGAAGTGTATCCACTTTATTTTCTTTTAAAAGATTTTATTTATTTATTTGATGGAGAGAGAGACAGCGAGAGAGGGAACACAAGCAGGGGGAGCGGAAGAGGGAGAAGCAGGCCTCCAGCCGAGCAGGGAGCCCGATGCGGAACTCGATCCCAGGACCCTGGGATTATGACCTGAGCCGAAGGCAGACACTCAACTGACTGAGCCACCCAGGCGCCCCGCGTATCCACTTTAAATTCTGTTAAATACTGCCAAATTACTTTCTAGGGAAGTGGAACCAATTTATGTTCCCACCGCCAAAGTGAGAGTTCCTGTTTCTCTCCAGTCTCACCAACACCGAATGTTATTAAATTGCACGACTGCCAATCTGGCACGTGAAAACTGTGCTCTCACAATTTGCATTTCCTTTTTTAAAGAGTGAAGTCAGGCATCTTTTCCATATTTTATAGGCATTTGTGTTTTCTCTTTTTGGGTGAACTGTCGGTTCATATCTTTTGCCTGTTGAGTTGTCTTTTTATTGTCTATTAAGGAGACTTGCAAATGTTGACAGGCCTCATAAATATTTCTTCCCCAGTTTGACATCTGTCTTTGACTGCCCCCCCCCGGCAATGTGGAAATTTTAGATTTTTGTGCAGTCAAATCAACAGCATGTGTGCATGCGTGCGCGCATGTGTGGTATTCAGTTAGGCCTTCTCCATTCTAAATTCATACCTAACATACAAACTTTAACTGCTATTCTAGAATCTGCTTCCACTACTGTTTCGCTCCAAATCATTCTTTAAACAGAGGCAAGAGTGGCTTCCTAAGACACCTAGAATAAAATCCAGCCTCCTTACCATGTAGGCCTCCCAGGCACCAGCTGAGCACAAAATTGGGCCCCCGTCTCTCTCACAGATGCCCTCCCTCACTATGAACTAGCCACACCAGGCTTCTGTTCTTTGAACAAACAAGCGCTTTCCCACCTCAGACCTTTCACACACACGCTTCTCTCTCCCTGGAATGCTCTTCTCACTGCTTTCCCCTTCTCATTTTCGGGGTCTCAGCCACCTTTTCAAAGAGGTTTTCATGACCCACCTCAGACCTTTCACACACACGCTTCTCTCTCCCTGGAATGCTCTTCTCACTGCTTTCCCCTTCTCATTTTGGGGGTCTCAGCCACCTTTTCAAAGAGGTTTTCATGAGATTCTTTGTATGAGCCCTTTGTTTCATTCACAGGACTTCCCCTAATCATAATGACTTTATTTTTCTGTCATCCCACTAGACTGTAAGGTCCATGAGATCAGAGATTAACGGAGACCATGCCTGTCTGACCACTCTATCCCCAGAGCCGAGCAAAGTACTGGAAACAAAATAGACATGCAATAAACATTGGTTGAAAGAATTCTTTTAAGAATTCGGTTTAGTGAGGAAAATTACCATCATGGAGGTAAGTTCTTAAATGGAGAAATGTGTACTGGGAACGCAGAGGTGGGAGTACCAAGTCTGTCCGAGGCAGTCATGGAAAGCTTCACAAGCAGGTGATTGAAAGCCAACAGTCCTGATAGAAAGTGGTATTTCAAGCAGTGGGAATACTATGTGCAGAGCCAAAACAGCACAGCACATTCAGGGAATTACACAGTCTAATGTTAGTAGGACTTTAAAAAAAATCAAGAGTACTACGGGTCTGACAGAAAAAGATCTGTTAAGATTATACTATGAATGACCATATGGCAACAAATTAGATAATTGAGATGAAATGGGCAAACTCCTAGAATAGAACAGAAACTGCCAAAACTCACTGGAAAAGAAACAGAAAATCTGAATAGACTATTCCATGTAAAGAGATTTAATTAGTAATCAAAAAACTCTGCACAAAGAAAAGCCCAGGACGAGTGGCTTCACTGGTGAATTATACTAAAAGTTCAAAGAAGAATTAATAGCAACGCTTCACAAACTTTGCAAAAGAGGAAACACTTCCCAACTCATTGTATGGAGCCAGTATTACCCTGATACCAAAACCAGACAGAGGCACAACGACAACAAACTAGAGATAAGTATTGCTTAAGAATACACAGGCAAAACTCCTCAAAAAACAAAAAATACCAACGATCTGAATCCAGCAGCATTTAAAAAAGATCATACATGACCAAGTGGAATTTATCCCAGGAATGCAAGATTGGTGCAACACATAAAAAATAACCAAAGCAAGACACCACAGTAATAGAACAAAAGAGAAAAAAAAACACACGATCATCTCAACATCTCAACAGACACAAAAGAAAAGCATGTGACAAAATTCAAACCCCTTTTAATATTCCAGGAATAGAAGGGAACTTTCTCCACCTGATAAAGGGCATCTATGAAAAACCCACAGGCACTAACAGTTACCTAACAGTTACATAAACTAATATCATACTTAATGGTGAAAGACTGAAAGCTTTTTTCCTAGGATCAGGAACAAGACAAGGATACTCACCCTCAACCCTTCTATTCAACATTGTACGAGGAGTTCTAGGAAGCACAAGTAGGCAAGAAAAAGAAGTAAAAGGCATCCAGATTGGAAGGGAAAAAGTAAAACCATCTCTATTTGTAGATGACATGATCTTACATATAGAAACCCTAAAGAACACACAAACATATACACAATTAGAGCTAATAAGTTTAGCAAGGTTGCAGGTTACATGATCAATATATAAAAATTAATGGTAGTCCTATATACTAAAAATGAACAGTAAAGGGGCGCCTGGGTGGCTCAGTCTTTAAGCATCTGCCTTCGGCTCAGGTCATGATCCCAGGGTCCTGGGATCGAGCCCCACATCAGGCTCCCTGCTCCGCGGGAAGCCTGCTTCTCCCTCTCCCACTCCCCCCCCTTCCTTGTGTTTCCTCTCTCGCTGTCTCTCTCTCTCTGTCAAATAAATAAATAAAATCTTTTAAAAAAAAAAAAGAACAATAAAAAATAAAGTTAAGAAAATTCCAGTTACAATAGCATCAAAAATAATAAAATACTTAGGAAAAAGTTAACAAAATAAGTGCAAGACTTGTGCAATGAAAACTATAAAACATTACCGAAAGAAATTAAAGAACACCTAAGTAAATGGAACGACATCCCATGCTCGTGGACTGAAGACTTAACATTATTAAGATGGTAATACTCCTTAAATGAATCTACAGCTTCAACACAATCCCTATCAAAATCCAAGCTGGCTTTTTGCAGAAATTGACAAGCTGATACTAAAATTCACATGGAATTGCAAGGAATCTAGAATAGCCAAAACAATCTTGAAAAAGAACAAAGTTGGAGGACTCACATTTGCCGATTTCAAAAACCACAAAAGCTACAGTAATCAAGACAGGGTGGTACTGGCATAAAGATAGACAGATCAATGGAATGAAACTGAGAGTCCCAATAAACCCACACATACATGGTTAATTGATTTTTGACAAGTGTACCAGACCATTCAAAGGAGAAAGAACAGACTTTCAATAAATGGTACTGGATATCCACATGTACAAGGATAAATTGATTAGATCCTTACCTCACACCATCTAAACAAATTAACTCAAAAAAAATTTAACTCAAAATGGATGAAAGGCTTAAACCTAAGAACTAAAACTATAAAACTCTTAGAAGAAAATG